CTAGTATGCCTATTATCAGACATAAATAGATTCAAGTTTGCAGTTTTCATTATTACTAGCAGTAAAGATGTCTGATAAGGCAGAAGAGATTCAGTAGTACAGAAATCTTGGACCCAGTGAATTGACTCCCAGGAAATAAAGCAAAGGCAGGTCATAAGAAAGACGCCTTAACAACCCCACTATAGAACTGCTCTGGAGCAGAAAGACTAAGGGAACTATCACAGCCCCTTCTAGTCTAAGGCCCTCAAACACCGAAGAGCCGAGCAGCTTCAACTCCTTTGAGTAATTCAAGGGTTCTTTTCCTCTTAACAAGAAACACACACACATTAACTTTTTCTTTCAAAGAACACAAAAGCAGGAGAAGCAGAGTTTCCATGGGAAAGTAGCCAGAAATTAAAACTAAAAAGGCTTAAAAAATGTAAGCAACTTTGACCAGAAGGAGTTTGGAGGAAAGTACATTTATTATAGGGATGATTTTATCTTTTCTAGCTCTGTATGAAGAAATAAGTGTATGTTAACTCTGGTAGCGTAGTAGTTACAAATCTGGCTGCGAGCCACAAGGTCAGCAGCTTGATACTGCTAGTTGTTCTGTGGGAAAAAGATGAAGCTTTCTGCTCCCGCCTCGGAAACCCTGTATAGGGTCGCTATGAGTCGGTCACGGCACATTATGTATTAGTAGCTAATGTAAGTATGTTTAAACACTGAGTAAGTCTGTTTGCCAACAATTAGATGATCTGATGAAACATTTAGAAAAAGTGAACAAGAGAGAGGATTACTCCTGTTGCTCTTTCCAGAGAGAAACCTTGGCATACGGATAAACCAGAGACTAGGGCTTTCTGGGACAACACTGAGTCAGAAGGTCACATGGGAAATCTCGCTCATCACAGATTCAATTCTCTGTCAGGAGCAAAAGGCCAGATAGAGCTCAAGTTCCAGAAGGAACCCAACCCTTATCATATTCGAGGAATCTATCATGTGAAACCATAGCCCAACACAAGGCCTGAGTTGACTTGCTTCAAATTCCATCTTAAATTTTCACTAAATTTCAGATGAAGAAAAAATGTTTCACATTTACTTGTTGGTAACTTTTGAAAATAAATCTGCCTCAGGGTAAAACAGTCACATGATTCCAAGAAGAGCTAGAGAAAAATCACAAAGTGAATCACAGTCAGATGTCATCCTCAGACTGAAAGATATTAACACAAAAAATTCTGTTTTCAAAAAATTAAACACAAAACCTAAAAACAAAGAAGTAAGCGAAGACATTCCATTCCCTCTTAGCAACAAATGAGTTAAGCAGAGACAGAAGCTATACTAACATTACCTCAAGTAGGAGAAACATTTGGTGAAGTACACATTCCTCTTTGCTGTCAATTTTTTTTTTAATTAAAGAGTTAGTTTCTTTGAAAAAAACAAACAAGGGAAACCAAGCTTTAAAATGATCCTTTGCCTCTTGGTCCCAATTTCAAAGTCAATTCCATTTTAAAAATCATGAGTCCTATCAAACATCTGTTATCCACATAATTCACTGCCTTAAATTCATTCCATTAAGATTTATTGTCAAAACTGAACAAGTCCCATCTGAATTCAACTAGAGAAGTTGAATATTAACTTGACTCCCCTACAACACATCCATAATTATAGTTGTAAATGTGGATTTTTTTTTTTTTTCCTCTCTCTCGACTAGGAAAAAAAAAGCGCAGTGAACAAATTTCAGAGTGCTAACTTGATGAAAAAGGAAAATGGGTGTGGTCTACCCCCAACATCTCCCTCGTGAGTTTCTAAAATTGGTTGAGAATTGTTTAAACATTTATTTGTCTAAATCGAGTCCTGGTGTGCTGCTATGTAGGATAAGCATTGGACCAAAAGGTCGGTATGAACCGTAAAGTCGCGGTTCAAATCCACCAGTCGCTCTTTGGAAACCCTATACAGGGCCGCTACGCGTCGGAACCGACTCAAAGGCACTCAGCCAACAACAAGAGTCTAAATCTATTAGTTAAATTTTCATTTGCCACAGTAATGGAATAAACGGGGTTACAGTTGGCGTGTAGGATTTAAATTCTCAGACAATGCCAAAATTTTAATCCAATGATTTCACAAGGCTCTTCATTAATTTTTCATTAACTTGGCTAACAGGGAATTGACAAACAGATTCTGGAGCGCTTTATTTTCCAGACTTTCCCTCTGGTGCGGGTAGAAAATGAGGCTTGGAAAGGAACGAACAACATAAACAAGGGGTCTGGTACGTTTGCAAAAAAAGGTAGACAAACGTGAGTAAGAGACAACAACTAGAAAGCAGGTACAAGAAAAAGAACAGTTTTGTATTTTCAGCTCTCGGACACAGTTCCAGAATTCAGTGCCGCCTGCCAAAAACGATTGGCATTAGCGCAAATTATATCACCCACAACCTTCTGCTTCGACATCCTAGAAAAACACTGCAGCCAATCTCAGTTATGCTATTCCTCGGCAGTGCGTGAGGTGTAGCGTTTATGCATTTTTAAGAAAACTGAGGCCCAGCGAAGGCAAAGAGAGCTTGTAAAGAAAAGTCTAAGAGTTTTCCACGCAGGGAGGGGCCTGAACAAAAGTCTCAGCCCTTGGTGAAGGATGCAGAGCCGCTCCTCCTACCACGCACCTTTAAAAAGAGAGGTCATTCCACCAGCTAGTGGGGACAGGGCTCGCCTGCGGTCGCCAAAACAGTTCCTCCCTCCATGACCCCTGCCCACCGCCTTCTCCCCTCGGAGCTCCCAGATAAGACCTCCACATTTTCCCTTCGTGCCCCCATCCCGCTCAAGTGAGGAGACCAGTCACCATCCCCCTCTGACCTATCCCCGCCGGACCCGAGACCGTAGCGCGATGCCTCCATCCCCTGCAGTTCAGTAAGTAGCAACCACGTCCAGACCCCTAGACGCCGCTGCTAGGGTGGCAAGTCTGGCAAGCAGCCGGGCCCTGCCCCCTGGCAACCACACCCCGCACTGTCACCAGCGTCGATTGGCCCTTGTGTCCACCACTACCATCTCATTGGCTATTACAACCACCCTGCGATGCAGGAGGGTTTCTAAGGGCGCCTGCGCTGAAGAGAGTATTTCGGAAAGGGGGGCGAGGGGGCGAGGGGGCGGGAAGGGGATGACGTGCAAGGGTTTGGTCCCCTGGAGCGCTGCGCGGGAAGGAGAGCGGGAGGGATAGGTTGGGGGCGGATCTGCGGCGGTGGCTCAAGGTGGCCGGGATCCCAGTCCCAGAGAAGCAGCCCATCCCTTCCCCCAACAGCCACTTAAACAGCGGCTTCCACATTCCTGTCATTAGTACCCCAAGACCACCCATAGTGCTTCCAGAGGTCTGTAAAGACTTACAGACCTCTGCTGCCTCCTCACACATAATCCAGCCCCTTCCCAGTGCAGCAGGCCTTCATGGAAGCACACACCTTCCCCAGCAATCATCCTCATTAAATCTTTCATATAGTTTACCTGGTCTGCACAAACCCTCCTTCCACCTCCTCCACTCCAGCCCAACCTTCTAGATCATTTCTGCTCTACAAACACTCCAAAGCACAGAAAACCTCCAGAATCTCTCCCATCTATTCCCCTTCCCTGTAACCTAAAGATCATCTTCAAATATCCACATTCCATAAAGGGATCAACTATTTAAATCTGTAACTTTGTTTCCAATATATCTTGTCCCAACCATCTGTTTATCACCACCAATTATATATTCTTTGTTGTTAAGTGCTGCTGAGTAGCTTCCAAGACATAGCAACCCTGTACAGGGTTTGCAAGGAGCAGCTGGTGGGTTTGAACTACTGACTTTGGGGTTTGCAATCCATAACTGATCCTACACCAGGAGTCCATATACTTCTATAGTCTCTACAGAATATCCTGACAAAAATTATTGCACATTAACTTTAGTTTATTGTATGCCAAGATCAAAGTTGTTTTTCCACATTAGTTTTCAATTAAGAAACACAGAACTCAACACACACTGGGACTTCATTGAACTCAGTGGGTCGGTCAGCCTCTATTCATTGTGTGATACTAAGCACAGTTCATTCTCTCTGTTTCAAATTTCCATCTAAAAAATAAGCAGAATAACCCCTTCTTGATCTGCCTCAGACTGGACGTGACACATTAAGTAGGTTCTTAAATAAATGGGACAGACTAAGATACTTATATGGGTAGAAACACAATTGAAATATTTTGTTAACTGGACACTTCTGCATTATTTACAATAAGCAATATACCCTGAAAAGATTTTGTATTTATTTACATACATTTTAAACAGTTACTACAGGAAATCATTTTCCCACAAAAAAAACACAAAAACACTTAAGTAGTTTATCTATGTTCCCTTCCCCGCCCAGTCCCACAGTATTCACCCAAACAGGGCTTGCTACCCTTTCCCCATCTTGTCAGTCTTTCTGCCAATGAGCCAACGTTATAGAGCAAACAGCTCAACTGTCAAAAGTCAGAGTGGATGCTCTGGTGGTTTTCTGTCCATCGAATCACAGAGGAAGCTCTACTGAGCCAGACAAAGCTGGTACTCAGAAATGTAGAATCATTTTTTTTTTTAATGAAGATAGCTAAAAGATTAATAATCAGTAGTTAAGGAAACACGACTTTTTGTAGAATGGGCAGTATTGCTGCATTACTAATAGTACAAAAGCAAGGTTCATTAAAAACTTCCTATTAACCATTTATTTACAAACATTTTGTTAGTATAAGAAATGTTTTAATTTTAAGGATTTAAATTACAGGAAAAATATGAAATGAACTGTTTTTATAACATTAAACGTAACTGCTTATGACACCAGATAGTTTAAAAAGCAAACCTGGAAATTGAGTTCCCTTAGGACTCCAGGGCTCTAGTTAAAAATTTTTTCTTATTGGTGTTATTTCCATTTTCTGCTACTAATGCACTATATGATACACTTGTGAGCCAGAAAAGTGACGTCAGCAACTCTATGAAAACCATCAATTTCTTGAATTCTTTAATAGTGAGAGAGGCTGCTGTCAGTTTTTCACAATGAACTGGCTTTTGCTCAGTTTCCCTCTCTCCCTGAGGCAAGCCAATAGGTGCTGCCGTCTCCTCCAGGTAACCTTTATCCCATACTTGTCCTCAGGAGTGTCTTTAACCAGAATAGGCCCAGGCTCTAAGCTCCTAGGAGTACTAGTATGATGGGCACAGCTTGGCAGGCTCTGTTCCTTCTGATCTGGAGGAATGGGTTCTTCCCTCACAGATGACTCTGGGGTTTGGATATCAGGTGGAATGAACACATAAGCTGGGCTTTGAAGTGTAGGTACTGACAGTTCCCCACAGCTTTGGGGACTGAGCATTGGCACTAAGGGTCTTCTGGAAATGTCCTTTTCTGACTGATTGGGACAATCCCTGATTAAAGGGAGCCCCAATGCCGTTGAACTGGAAGAAGACTGTGGACTCTCAAAGGTCAGATGTGGAAACTTGGAGGCAGTAGATTTTCGACTTGACTGTCTTGCCTGGTCTCGGTGATGTTGTTTCCGGAAAACTGGCAAACAGCTTTCTGCTGTTGTATCAAACTCAGGCAATACCTAAGGATTTAAAAAACAAAAACAAACAACAGTAAGGTAAAGAGAGCCAACTACCAAGTCCAAACTAGAGGTAACTATATTCAGGCAACTACACCAAATGACCAGAATCCTAAATGGGGGCCAGTTCTAGTAATAGACAGAAAAACTCCCATCTAATCAAATAATAATCAAGCTTTGGGCAAGCATTCAATCTCTTGGCTTTCAGTTTCATGGTTAACAAAGGGAACACCACCTCTTTCATCGCGCCACACCAAAAATCTGTCTTCTCTGAGAGGCAAGAAACAGCACACTTGTTCGCCACTGGCCCCAGCACCTAGCAGTGCCTGGTATAGAGAAGGGCGGCCTAAGGAGATGAGATCGTGTATGTTAGGCGATGAGTATAGGGTCTGGCACACAGTGAATACTCACTCAATAAATGTACATTCCTATCCTCATCCTCAGGATTCTAATGTTTGAGTTTCTGCCACAATCCTGAAGCAAGTATTATGGTTTCCCAAGTAGTCCTGAACTAGTTATAAGCACTCTTAAGAAGCAGAGTTTATGTTTTTTATACGACCTTTTACTAAACTACTACTCTGCCACATAGTAATGATACCCTCTCCCATTTAAACTGTTAAAATATGATGTTTACAGTTACTGTGAATTTTTTTTTCTCAAGGCTCAACCTATTAAATAGTAAGTAGAGTACCTAGCTAAATACTCCACTTCTCATATGAAGGTTCAGAGTCATGTTGAGGTGCTGTAAAATAAATCCTTGACTACTAAACATGAAGTTGGCAGTTCAAACCCACCAGCTGCTCCTTGAAACCCCTATACAGGGTTGCTATGAGTCAGAACTAACTCCACGGCAATTAACAACAACACATGACGCTCGGGAAACAACCTCATTTTTTACCTGTCTTGCCATTTATCTGGCTTTCTATTGGGTAGTGACATTTTTATGCTCAACTTTTTCAGAGGAATGTAGAAGGAAAAGTTCCAATTCCAACCACTTCAAGTCTCAATGTGAATTCAGAAAAGGAGACATATTACAGAAGATGCCTGACAATAGACAAAAAGAACATATGGCCTCCTTGTCTCTATCTATCATAGATATTCCTATTTTTTTGGAGGCCCTGGTTCAAGACCAGAAAAATCAGTATTCTGAGAAGTCTGATAAGAGTCAGAGTAAAAACATTATTGGCTTACCCAGGAAGTGATGGTTTGGTGATCAATGGGCTTGCTAGGCACAGGTCTAGTGTGGCTGATGGGAAGCTGTTGCGATGCATAGTGGTGTTTGGCGCCATCCAGTGGTTGTTGGTGGAACAGCAGCGGAGCTTTCTGAGACCGCTGTCTGCGCTTTTTTCTGGGAGGCATCAATAGGTGAATGAAGAGCAGTTAGTAACCACATGATGCTGGTTGCAATCAGCTGAGAGGGCAGGCTCCAATTCCAACCCATGCCTGCAGACAAGAAACAAATGCTGGGAGGAAAATAATGCAGAAGATTCCCCAGCTCTGCCAGCTAATTCTACCATAAACTATTATCCCCATTTCAACACTGTGGGGAGCACAGCTTCCTCCACCTACTCCACTCCAGCCCACACGTAGCAGTTCATCTTCAACAACATTCATTCTGTAAACATTTAATGAGCCCATGTTGAGCACCCTGCTGGGTGATGGGAATTCAAGAGGAAAACTATTTGTTCAGTAAGTACAAGAGGACTTCAAAAAGTTCATGAAAAAATGGAATTAAAAGGGAATGGAATAGATGTCAATTCACAATAAAAAGTTTAAAAAAAGATCATGGAATTTACCCACAAACTTTTTGAAGCCCTCTCATATTTATTGGGCGTCCTGCTGTGGCTCTGTGGGTTAATGCGCCAGACTGCAAAGCCATTTGAACTGCAAGGTCGGCGGTTCAAGTTTACCAGTCACTCCTTGGAAACCTTGTATAGGGTCACTATGGGTTGGATCCGACTCGACGGCACTTAACAACAACAACATATTTATTGAGAGCTGAGCACTTGTAAGGATATGGGGTCACATTGCCCATGTCTTCAAGAAGTTGAGGGTCTAGCTAGTGGGGGAGACAGAAATTTACAATACACTGACCACACTAAACAACAATGAGAAGAATGTTCTACTCTCTTCTGGGAAAGCTTCCAGGAGAAGGAGACCCCTGACTTAGGCATGGAAAGTTTAGGAGAAATAAGCAGGGAGGGGGCTCTCCAACTGAAGAACCAAATATACAAATGCACAGGGAACATGGAGTATTGTGAATTCAGGTTATTACAAAATCAATATATAGCTAGACACAGGGTTGTTGTAGTTGTTTTGTTAAGTTCTGTGGAGTTGGTTCTGATTCATAGTAACCCTGTATAGCATTTCTGAGGAGCAGCTGGTGGGTTTGAACCGCCAACCTTGAAGTTCAAGCTGACCTTTCGGCCCAGTGCATTACCCCACAGCACCACAAAGATAAATGGCCAAAACTGAGACTGGTCTTGGAGTCAGGGTCAGATCAGAAAAATCCGTTGAGCCATATGAGCTTGGACATTAGCCTGACAAGTCACTAAAGAGTTTACTGTTTTCCCAGACTTCATTTTTCACCCCAGATAATTGTGAACATACACAAAAGTCGAGTGATTAAAATAATGAACCACCACGTACCCATCACCCAGCTCCAGCAACCATCAGCCCATGCCAATTTTGACCTAGCCACACCCCTATCCACTTTCTCCATCCCTGCATAATTTGGAGGCAAGCACAATTCCCAGTCATCCTGTCATTCGATTAATGTGATTCAAATATAGTAGAACTCAAACCAAACACACTGCTATCAAGGCAATTCTGACTCATGGCAACATTATATAGGGTTTCTGGGGCTGTAAATCTTAACAGGAGCAGACAGCTTCATCCTTCTCCCAAGGAACAGCTGGTGGGTTTAAACTGCTGACCTTGTGGTTAGCAGTCCAGTGCTTATCCTACAGTGCCAGAAAGACTCCTTAAAATGCAGCATACTAATTCTTTAGTATCATCAAATATACAGCCAGCAGGATTTCAAAGGTCTCAAAAACGCCATACCTTGTATTTTTGTTTTTCTTTTACACAGATCATTCTGGTGACAATATGAGAGGAGAGAGGCACTCTGGAGATAGGGAGACCATCTTAGGAGGTTAGTGTGTCACCCAAGAGAGAAATGATGAGGGTCTGAACTTGAGCTGGGTCAAGAGAGATGGGAGACTGGAGACAAAGGTGGGGTCAATAGCACCCGAAAGTAATAAAAAGTTACATAACAGAGCAAGTTGTTTCCACTAAACATAAATGAGTAAAAAACTTAACACGATCTGATTTATATCACAAGGTAGTAAAGATACAGATATTAAAGGGAAAGAAGGTGAGGAAAAAGGACAAGTCCCTCCCTACCTTCTCTCATTGAGCTAACATTTCAGAGAAAACACAAATAATAAAGACATCCGTTTGTTCACTCATTCACTGTTCCAGATGCTGGTAATACAAACAAAACCAAACACACTGCCATAGTCAATTCTGACTTACAGTGACCCTGCATAGGTTTCCAAGGCTGTACATCCTTACGGGAGCAGAAAGCCTCATCTTTCTCCCATGTAGAAGCTGGTGGGTTTGAACTGCCAACCTTGTGGTTAGCAGTCCAGTACTTATCCTGCAGTGCCATCAGAGCTCTCTGGAAAATACAAGGGGAATTCAAACTGTTCGTGGAAAAATGGAATTAAAAGATAATCGAATTTTTTCATGAACTTTTAAAATTCCTTCTCATATATACCACAGAACAAGATTTTATATTGTTTTAAACCTGAAAGAACAATCCATTAACTCAACTCTGAATTGTTTGGTTTTCCGTGGGAAGTGATAAGAAGTGGGGGGAAAATCATACAGGATAAGGAATTGAGCTGACTGAGTGCTATTCCAGACAAGTTGTCAGGGAAGGTCTATCTGAAGAGGTGACATGTGAGCAAAGACTGAATGAAGAAAGAACAAGTACACAATGGAAAGATATGATGAAGAATATCACAGCCTAAGAGAATAACAAACATAAAGCCCTAAGGTGGGCTATTTCTGACCTGTTGAAACAGCCAAGTCAGGGTGCCTGAAGTCAAGACTGGTTACAGGAAAGGCAGGGGCTGGTTCATGTGACACACAGGCTTTGTCAGCTAGGACTGGATTCAATTTTCACGGAGACAGAACATCACTGAAAGGTTCTACACAGGAAAGTGACATAATCTGATGTCGTTTTAAATTCTCTGGTCAACTCTCCATAAGATAGCTCAAATTTTTTCCCCTGGAGTCCTGGTTTCACAAGTCCTGGTTGGAGAAGCACTGGACTTCTAATGGCAACGTCAGCTGTTCAAACCCACCAGCCACTCCTCGGAAACCCTATACAGGATCACTATGAGTTGGAACTGATTCAACGGCACTTAACAACAACAAAACTTCTGAACTCCCTTTCTCTCTCAACAGATGACTGTACTTACCATGTCACAGAATACAGAAGCCACCAAAGGGAATACACTCATTTCCCAGAAATCAAATACTCAAATCCTGGACTACAAGGTCAATTTGAACCACACGGTTGGTGGTTGAAACCCACCAGCCACTCCTCAGAAACCATACAAGGAGTTACTTATGAGTCAGAACCAACTGGATGACACTTAGCAACCACAACAATGTACATGTGCCTCCATCCTTTCTCTCCACTTAGAGGTGTTATCAGTCACTTCTGCAATCTAAGGCCTTTCCCTGCACCTGAGCCTTGGCACCTTTCTCACTCTATACGCCTTCCTTAGGCAACCTCATCTGCTCACATTTCCACTATCTCCCTGTTCCACACATCCTCGAAGCTCAGGACCCATGTACCAATTGGCTATTTGGCAGCACGTATATGTCTCACGTGTATCTCAAACTCACTCGACACCTCTTTTTCAGGGAGAAGCCTTTATTTAGCTGATCAGTGACTACCGTGCGCTAAGATGGGGTGACTGCAGTGCCCCTTATTGTTTTCTGGGCCCTTTTATACTTATTTCTCAAGGTTGACTTTGGCTGTTATTTCTCAAGGTTGGCCTTGGCTTGGCTGGCTGGCTGGCGTCCTGTTGGAGGGCCCACCCAGATGCGAGGAGTTTGCATAAGCAGTTTTACAGAAGCCAAGTTTAGCCAGAGTTAAGGGGGAAAAGTGGTTCCGCATCCAAGGAGTTGTTGATGCTAAAAATTTCCACTTCAGCCTGAGCTCATCTTAAAAACTGGTTACAATACGGCAATTTGGACCTACATCATCATATTTAAAACTGAACTCATGATCTCCTACCACCTCCAGGGCTCTAGCTCCGAAAATGGTATCATTTGTCATCCAATTATGCAACCAGAAATCTTGACATTTCCGTCTTCCCTCTTCTCTATCCAACCCCACTATCAAGCCCTGCAATTTTACCCCTTAAACACATCTCCAAGAATCCTTCTCTATCCTCCTTTCTATATGCTCCCCAACCCCCGCTTCAAGTTCCAGCAATTCTCCCATGGAGTATCACAACAACCAGAATAGCCTATCCTAGGAAACCCTGTACAGGGTCACTATGAGTCAGAACCAATTTGATGTCACTTAACAACAACAGCAATCCACTCACAGTCCTCCTCTAAGAGAACCCATTTAAAAATTGCAAGTCTAACCATGACTCACTTCTGCTTAAAACTTTTGACTGGCTTCCTTTCATTTTTGGATCTGGCTTTCTCTGGCTCTAGCTCACCTCACACACCACACTCCATTCAGATCTCCGAGCTCAAACTCCTTAGATACATACCCACTCCACACTTCATAAGTAGGTTCCAGAAACCAAGTCATTATGTGGAAATCAGCACTGTCAAATCACAAAATGGAGGATGATTACATCATTCCATAACTGCCAAATCACATAATTACATAAATGCCAAACTACTGAAAATCATGGCCCAGCCAAGTTTAAACATAACCTCAACCACCCCAGCCAGCATTACTCCTGCTAGCACCTCCATGCTAGTTATTGTCAAATGTAAGAAGTTAATGTGCAAAATAATCAGATAGTAGATGTTTTACTATTGTCATAAATGCAAAATGTCAGAGAACTGAGATATTCTCCAGCCGTTGTACTCACCATGTTTTCTTCTCCTGCCACAGTCTTTGTACTCATTCCCTCTCTCTGTTTAGAGCACTTCCCTCCCTTTTCTGCATAATGAATCAGATCTCCCATCATGCTTCAGTCCATCAGAAAATCCTTTCCTGGGGGGTGTGGAGTTCTCTGATCCAGTCGTTTCTGCTTGGGAGGTTTCCAAAGCCCCATTCACATGTAAAAGGACATGACTTCCCACAAAAGTAC